TGTGTATGTGTGTGTGTGTGTGTGTATGTGTGTGTGTGTGTGTGAGTTTGTGTGTGTGTGTACTTAAATATTCTTTCATTTGTGTCAAAAACCAATTTTCAAGCGTTGTTAAACTTAAAGCCTTACATTATCTATCAAAAGATAAAAGCAGCAAAAATTACCTCGTCTCTTGTGTAAAAACCTGAACCACTTGTGGAGTCATCTGGTCCCGATCCAAGCGTGGACATAATGCACTCCGTCTCTTTCGGGTCATGGCACCGTTTCCCGCCAACCTGAGGGGCCCAAGGAAGGTTTTATTTTTTAGTTTTACGACAATTGTAAACTCAATAGGGTCATATATTACAAATGCCGAAAATAAGAGGTTATGCAAGAGAGTAAAAAACAGCAAAAGGAGGATGAGAGATAAGGACGATAGATGTTTGATAGGAAAAAAGGAGTATACTACACCAGAGCACCCACCAACCGTCCGAAGGTTTTTATCTTATAGCCCATACCATGGTTTGATTTGGTGTGTTGCATAGTGTATAATTCAATTATTGCAACAATTTATTTGCTGCACAACTTCCATCATTGTTTGGTATTTTATATAGCTCACACTATTGTTTCATCTATTGCACTCATTGCATTATAGTTTGTTATTAAATTTACACAATCTACGTTATTTTTTTGTTATTTTTGCAAGATTGTTGTTTGATTTATTGCAGAGCTTTCATCATTGTTTGTTTTGGGGTTGTTTTTTTTAACACGACCTGCATTAATATTGTTGTTTTTTTTTGTTTGTTTAAACAGCTTACATTTTAGTTTGGTTTTCCTGCACAGTTAAAATAAATGTTTTGCAAATTTTCCAAAGTTCACATTATTGTTTATTGTTTGGTCTTTTACATAGCTCATATATTTGAATGATCTTTTACAAACTTGACATTCTTGTTTGGTTCATTGCAGGTTTTGAAGTCACAACTATATAATGAAGTGACCAAAATGCAACCAAAAACATAATGTTTATACATGAGATATTTCATTGTATTCTGAAGGCGTAATTCCTCCGTCTCCCTTTTTCTCTCCCAACTCCTCATGTTCCATGCCACTATCACTGACGTGTTACCCCCCTTTCTCTTCTTCTTTCTTCTTCTTCTTCTTCTTCTTCTTCTTCTTCTTCTTCTTCTTCTTCTTCTT